CTTAACCAAATATTGAATAGGCACAAAATTTTTGTTAAAAAATATAAAATTGTGAGAGTTTTATTTATTGATCCTAAAGAGAAATAAGTATTAATGGTGATTCAAAGATAATTTATGAATATGTTCCCTATGTCGTAGCTCAACATCACTATAAGAAACCTGGATCTCCTTTGTTGAGAGGAATGGATGCAGTAAGAATTTCGAACCAACAACTGAGTTAGCGACAATTTAGAACTTATTTCATAATGTGTGCATAGATAAAGCCTTACTTCACTTTGTGTGTGAGTGTTCAACTCAAAAATGTCCACAGAAAAAGGGCATGCATGGCTAGCATAAAAATTGCCGTGAGTTAAATAAAATTCAATCACTTTATAGTAGCGCCTCGCAACAAATACTCTTCAGCTCTTTCGAAAATAAATTGCTTGCAATTTCACATCATCTAATAACCAAGACTGTTCAATTATAACTAGAGTATGTAACCATTGTAGAACGCCATTTCCATCTCAGGAGAGTCCCATTACCAGGGTAGTCCGAATGCTAAAAACTCCATAGCCAAGACTGCCCGACAAAAGCTTAACATTATGCAATTCCTATTCATTAAACAACGTGTGCATATATTGTACTATTCAGAAACTGATCAAGCATGAAATGAATATTCCATTATAAAGTGATGAAACCGTGCATGAGAGTTAGTTTAAATTTTGGGAAAATAATGAAATTTCTACAATCAAAATAACCCATTTATTGCAGATGTGATGTAAATATAAAACAGGTTGCATATGTGTCAGCTTGACCTTTTTCAAATAAAAAAATGTACTTAGTTGTCACCATGAGAAGCCATTAGACAGATAGCATATCGAAGCCTTACAGGAGAGTTTCTGGGAATATATAACCAACTTTGAGGAAGATCGGTCAAAACCTTTTTGAATTTTGTCTCAATTGGACTGCATTAGTGTGACACACATGTAGATGAGAAAAAACAACAATACAAGAAATTAATTGCCAAGGACATAAGAAAAACAACAAAAATCAGTTGACCCTTTGCTATTAATATTATTAATAAAAATACTTGAAACTTTGTCCTCTCAATCTTAGGTACATAGTATAAATCTAATCCATTAAAGGACAAGCAAAATAACACAAAATATTATCCAACTTTAATTTTACGAGTACAATATAAAAATGTTTGCGCATGAAGCAATTTATTTAGAAAGCACCAGGCATATCCTTTTTTTTAATTTATTAAAATTTTATATATTTTTTTTATTTTTTTATTTTTATTTTAACATTATCTCATGCTATTAGGACATTGGCTACATTATTCATAATTTGATACAAATATAGAGTTAAATTTGTTGTATCTTGTAGCCCTGAGACCGTTCAATCGTTTACTTTTAGAAATCAATTGTATTAATCAAAACCAGCGCTTATCAATCCATCACATTTTTTTCCTTTTTGTCTCTTTAAAACTATGATCGAGTTCCACTCCAAAGAAAGCTTCTCAAAAATCACACATTATTTTATTTTTTTTCATCCACCTTTGAACATCACTTGACACTCATGGTTTGAAATAAAACTTGAACAATCAATGCTCGCGACCGGTGTCGATTTGGTTTCAACCGTAAATCAGTTAATATAGTGCCGGTCCAGACTGGTTTAAGTTATCGGCTTTACTTAAAACCGGGATGAACCGTGGCATACAACCGCCCGCTATGTGAACACGGTCCCCAATTTCTAAAACCAGCAAGCTTCAATAATTTTTATTTTAAATAATTAAATGAATGTTAACGCAATATTAATTATGAACAATTAACTTAATAAATTAATATAAAATTATATATTATTAAATATCTTAATCTATGAGTATTGAAAATACCATATAATTAAGAAATGTAACTTCAATATACTTTTACATAGCCCCACCACTCTTAGTGAGCTCCTATCATGGACAAAAGTCAAAAATTATATAACAAGGTCATACAAAAAACACATACTAATTCAATGTGAGAAACTATAACCATAACTCAATAAGTAAACAAAGCACTCGAGTGTCTTCATTTTGCATGTTCTAACAGCTCTTCATATATCATTCTTTTTTATAAATATCAAAATTAACTCTTAATTTATTAGAAAATATAAATAACCTCTACTATGTTATTTTTATTTGACAATATCTTTTAAAATTTAACATATTATATTAAGTTTTTTATATAATTTAATTATATCATTATAACTTTTTATTTATGAACTTTAAACTCATATAATCATATGCATGAGTTATAACATATAAATTTCCTCTAAAATGTGAATCTCCTCTGTGTAAATATTTAATTATATATTTAATAAAACTACATCTAAATATGTAAATATGAAAATTTAGAAATCAATTTATAATTAAATTTATGGTACATCTAATATCTAGATTCGTGATGATTTAAAATATTGTAGAATCCTATAAAATTTATTATTCATGTTATTATGAGAGTTACCATTTCTTTAAAGATTATGAAAGATTGCGAGGTTTTTTTTCAATTCTAAAAAAAATCATAGACTATATGTCGAGTATTTATTAATAAAAAATAATTTTTTTTTTGAATAAGTACCATGTTAAGTTGTTTTATATTTCATAATTTTTTATTTCATTTAATTTTTTGTCTAATATTTGAAATGATAATATCATTATTATGTTAATTTTATTAAATTTTAATAATATTATTATTTATTATGATATCCAGTTTGACCCCAGTTTGACTGATCAAACCGTGAACCTCTCCTTCCAGTTTGTTGTACAGTTCGATTTTCACAGCCTTGTTTGCACTCCATAGCTTCCTTGAGGTGGAGAGTTCTCTCTTCTTCTTTCTTAATGACAAGAGATCTAGCGGCATGTCATTTATCTTCTTGATCTATTGAAGACATACTATTACATCACCAATGGGAAGAAAATTTAGGTTATATGATCTTTTTTTTTTTTTGGTGCATAAAATTGATGATCATTTTGAATTTTTTAGTTTTCAATAAACTAATCTAAATTATAAATCTTGTAAGGAAGCCGAAATCTTAACTTTTTGGGAATTTTGGTAAGGGTGTCTGTAAAATTTTATCGTCTTCAAAATAAATATTATAGGAGATGTCTACACCATAGGCTTTTACAAAGAAAGAATCAATCAGATTAGGAAGTTGGTTCTTGAAGAGTTCTTGACCATGTCCTTACAACCGCAACAATTTATAGGGCGGAACATACTAATCATTTAGTGTTTTGTGCGATCTTTAGGTGATGAATATTAAAATTTCCTATGCAGAGGCAATAACTGTCAAAACCTCTTTGCAATTTTTTTATATTAATAACAAATTATTTAGGGTAAGAGATTTGATTTGAATTCAAATACAAGAAGAAATTATGTAAAGGGGGTTGATTTGGGAGAAAATTAGGAGAGCCTATTTAAGGCTAACAATTGGGTGATTTCAAGATTATGTTTTAAATTTGTTAAAATTAGAATTTTTAGGTTGTAAGGGCTCTAGACGCCAGCTAGAAATTTGGGAAAGTCAGATGTTCCTCTTCAATTGAAGATCCATCTGTAACTTGTTGTTTTCTTTCATATATCTTGCAATAAAAAGAGTTTTGGTTTGTTCTTCTTCCTAATTCCTTATCGTTGTTCGTTGATTTCGACGAAATTGTGCCCACTTCCTATCACTTTTCTATCACGTAATAAGCTTGATGCATTCCTCCCATTCAACCATCCAATCTGAATTCTACTAATAATATCTCCATCTATTTCATCATTGCCTTGAATAATAAGCCTGAGATATCTAAATGTGCACTCTTTTTAATGACTTGATAACCTGATATCAAAGTCCCACCATTAAATCTATTACTACTAAAATTACACTCCATATATTCAGTTTTAGATATACTCAGACAAAGACCTTTATACTCTAAGGTTGATCTCCATAATTCTTGTTTTTCATCAACTCCCTCTCTAGTTTTATCAACAAGAAAAATATCATCAGCAAAAAGCATACACCAAGGTATATCTTCTAGCAAATGTCTAGATAGAATATTCATGTGTAAAACAAAAATATATGGGCTTAAATTAATCCCTGATGTAATCCAATTGAAATAGGAAAATACTTGGTCAAACCACCTAATGTCTGAACAAAAGTAACAGCTCCTATAGACATACCCTTAATGACTTGAATATAAGCATTATTAACTCCCTTCTTTTCTTGAACTCTCTAGAGCACTTCAATTAAAACATTATAACATGCATTCTCTAAATTAATAAATATTATATCTAGATCCTCCTTACTCTCTTTGTACTTCTCCATCAAATTTCTTAGCAAAGAATAGCTTCTATAGTAGACCTAACCGACATGAATCCAAACTAATTTAAAAAAAATATTATTATCACATCATAACCTATGCTCAATTACCCTATCATAATTTTAATATATGACACATTAACTTAATTCTTATATAATTCACACGCTCTTACGCATCACCTTTATTCTAAAAAATATAAATCAATTTACTGTTTCTTCACTGATGTGGCATGTTTTAGTCTTCAAAATAATATTAAAAAGTTTATTAAGCTTTGAGACTGGCATTTTTTAGTCTACAAAATAATATTAAAGAGTATATACTTCTATTAGAATATCATCAGGTACTACTACTTTTTTACACTTCATTTGCATTATAACATAGACCCAATGCATTTTTTCATTTTATCACATAACAAATTATAATCAAGTCCCTTATCGAAATATTGCATTTTAATAATTTTCAAATGACTTATGCGGTTCAAGTACTTCAATTTCCATATTATTACCCAGATGAATATATATATTTGAATTTATAATTTCATGCAATAACATCAATAAAAGTATCTTTTTTATACTCCTACTCCCCCCCCCCCCCCCCCCAAAAAAAACCCCCCCCCCGCACAAAGAAAAAAAAAAGTAAACTTGTAATAAGTTCAAGAAAATGGTACCCATGCAGTGAGCAGTAAAATGCGGACGGATAGAAATAGAGTATAAATATTAGCAAGTTGAACAAAAAATTTCGGAAAAAAATAACGAACCATTTACAAATTGGAAAGTCTTTACCTCCATTGTTTTAACTCCAGAATAATGCATCTGTAATATGATTAAAGAATTCAAAATATTATTAGTCAGGTTGCTTCAACAAACAAAATAAGAAAACTGTAAGTTATTTCCAATTTGCAAAATCAAATCCAAACGGATAACTTAAAAAAAAAAAAGCAACTTTCAACGGGATAAAATAATAAAATAACAGTAACTATCTTGCAGCTAAAAACTTTGTGAAGTGAAGCAACTTGCATAGGCCTCAATATTTTCTATTAAGGAAATCAAGATTGGAGATATTTAGATGTTATCCCATTTGATTATCAATATACTAGACCATAATCTCTAATGTAAATCAGAAATGTCAATAATAACATTTTGTTAGGCATGCTTTGTTAGATAAACAAGTATCATCAAGAGTGATATAATATTTTGAATAACTCCTTGAGTTTTGGAAGTTTCATCTAGGTAGGTTCCTTAAATATATAGTTGTTAAGTTGGCATAAATCACAACGGGACTAGCAAGAAAACCAACATAGCATGGTGGAAAACTCGAAGTCCCCCAAATGGCCTAATTATGCTTGCGCCAATCCAATTTGAACCGGGTCGATTAAATTCTTTCCTGACATACCCCATGCAAGGCAAGGGCTAACAAAGATTCAATTATAACTACACAACACCAGTAAGAGGAGGCCTAGCTGTGATTCAAAACCTTGAGCAAGTGCATCTGGAAGCAACAACTTTGATGCTGTTGACAATGTCCCCATCTGCCAGTATAATGATCTTCTTCAAATAACCAAAAAAGTTTACACTTAACTAATAATGAACATTTATTTCCAAATTTTACTTGAGGCAAATAAAAAGCCTTAAACTTTCTTTTGGGGTAATGAAGATCATATTTATTCAACTTGGCCAGGGAAATGTTTTTCATTCTTGAAATCATCAATACCTCTCTATTGAACAAAGTTCCATCTAGTTACTAGTGCAATGACCACAACCACCTCCTCATCAACCTATGCATTGTGATTCTATGATGCCAACATCAATAGGCTCCAACATCTTTGACCCTCTTTCTATGTCGAAGGAGAGCCCTCCCTACATGGGACACCAAACTAGAGTGATCAATCAAGCTGGTCCAACTTGGTCAGAACCATTTGTTCAAATAAAAAATAGACGACCTTTGTTTGCACTAGAAACTTTAACAAGGCTTGATCACAATTAATCATGCATTCGAAAGAAGCATTAATTATTTTGAATATTTATAAATACTCCTTCACCAAGTCCACATGTAATCACTCAAACTCATTTGAAGAATTCATCAATTTTGACCAGGGAGATATCTCAAGAACTCGAGGAAAATCCTGTAGCTTCAAAGTCCTTATCCCCTTTTAGGTTGCCTAAAATAGACTCATTACTTAGACCTCTCACAGTTATAAGTATCATAAACAAAGGTTCTTCTCAAGGAGAAACTCTTTCGTTTGGATACTAGCTCTTGTTTCTTCCAAAGATGTAACATACAAGCTCTAAATAGCTCATACCTGATAGGAAACAAGTTAAATCCAATAGTTTCAAGTACTACAGTATATACCAATGTAGCAGATTTGGAGAAAGACATCTATCATACACATAGGATGCTCATTCACAAGAATCTAGAAACTTGGTGTAAGATTGTGACGACGAGTAAGAAAATCTCGATGTAAGGTACATCAAAAATTGGTTGGCTGGAAATATACTCATTGCTTAAAGCTCGAACAATTATAAATTTCAATAACAAAGATTTCACCCAAGGAGATAACCCTTGGTTAGATGGTAACCTTCTGTTCCTTCAGAAGATCTAACTTACAGGCAAATTGGCCCAAATATTTTGTACTTGAAATAAGAATTGAGTGAAATCCAGTGTCAAGTATTATACTAAATACCAGTTTAACGGATTTGGAGATAGATATTTGGCAAACACAAAAGGTTGTTCATTCATAAGAATGTATAAACTTGGCGTAAGATTGCGAATAGGAGCAATAACAACTCAAAGTTAGCTATATCTGGTTGGCTTGAAATTGACTCAATAATCAAATCAATTCAATTTCTTTCAGGTATCTAAACTCAAATCAACTCGAAATGAATCATTTAATATGAATTATATTCAAATAAGCATATTTATAACTATGTGCCTATGCCCTTATGTGCACATATATTTATTTATACAAATAAATATATTTATATATGCCTAGAGTATTGTGTAGCGTTGTATACATGAACTATGTAGCGCTGTACCTTTTAATGTTTTCTCTTTATGTAGCCTCATTCGTAGCTCCCACGACCTTATAAATAAAAGATTATGAGAAATAATTTGGGAGGACATATTTCCTTCTTGTAATAGTGGAAACCATGTCAGTTTTAAAAGCTTTAATTTTCTAAGCATTTTCTAGTAAGTTTGAGTGTCACCTACGGACATATTCGGATCCAAAAATGAAGTAATTATAACCAGAAAAAAATGGCCATATCATCATCGCAAAAGAAACAGGACATGAAATAAACGAACATTATTTGAATTATAAATGCAAAGAAACCAAAATTATAAATGCTGCAAGAAAGGAACAACGCACAAACATTCGGATAATAAAAAAATAACGTTCAGCTTAATACCTTGAAGAGTGGATGATCGATCTGGAGCTGCACATCCTTAAAGGCTTCACGAACCCTTCGGCGCTCAGGCGCGTAATCGAGATTGACCATGGAAACCATCTTCGCAAGCTTATCGTCCACGCCCTCCCACTTCATCTCTGCAGGCTCCGCTGCCGTAAAGCTCCCCATCATCCTTCCCTGCCCCTTGATCTGTCTCTCCCGTGGAGGCAGCCCAAACCTAGTAGAACCTATCAAAGGTCAGAGGCCAGATTGGTCGCTACACCGATGAAAAGAAGAAAACAAACGCCAGAAAGCAAACTTCGTACCAGTAGGAAAAAAGCGGCGGGACATCTCAGCCAAAGCCGGAGTTGGAGCTTTCCACGTCATTTTTCAGTGCGAAAATTCAAGAGAAAACGGGCTAAGAAAAGTGTCTGATCTTTCCTTCCACTAATGGCAGATGATTTGCAGCGGGTTTATAGAAGAGAAATAGAAATTTGGGAGGAGTTTCTAACTGATGACAGAGAAGGTTATTTGAGATGCAACGGCTTTCCACTCCGAAGTTGGTCGATGGCTCTATATCTTGAACCCGAGGCCGGTCTTTGAACGGTAACTAACTTCAGAAAATATAGATTTCTCAAAAAAAAAAAAAATTTTTTTTTTTTTTGAGAAATTTTTGAGGTTTTTAGAAATAATTAATTAAATTAACATCAGAAAGTTGCTTCATATTTTTTTAACTTTTTAATGGACAAAATTAGGCTAATTAGGAATGCTAATTTTAAAAAACAATGATTATACATATATAACTAAAAATAAAATATAGCTAAAATAAAATGTATAAAATATAAAAAATTATTATTGCATATAGATTTATAATTGATACGGCATCAAAAAAGTAGCTTGATCGGGCACGAATCTCGAGGCAAAAGCTAGTGGGAAACTTTAAAAATTAATTCTGGCAGCACCCGAACTCCGAATTCAGCAAGCTTATAGTCAAACTGAGCGTCTCGGAAATACAAAC